GTCATTGTCGCCACCATAATCCCCAGAATCCTCATAATCCTCCTCACGGCTCCCCGAAGCTTGGAGACACGAGGTATCACACGTGACAGCCTCCCGCGCCCCCTCGAAGTCGCCACCCAAAAAGCTGGGCTGGCACGGCGGAGGGACTGGCCGCAGGCAGCTGACTGTCATAATCAGATGAACAACACAAAGCACCGTGTCGCACACATACTCGGTATGGGTGAACACATCTTTCTATAAACCTATACACGTGTGCGCTTACGTACAGATACATAGAACGACTCCGAATAGATCTACGCACAAGACATGCTGAACACCTCGGAGCAAACGAACAAAAAAGGAGAACAGACATCCGAACGAAAAAAACACCGTGCAAGAAAGCAACAGGATTCCGTGTTTCGATGTATGAGCGGACCGAACTGAGGATCACCCTTGAAACGAAGCTAGTTTAACCACGACGACGCATATCAACGGCTGAGTTTCGGCAATACTTTATTTCATCGTTGGGCAATGCGTGCTGCGTCGCAACAGAAAACGAATGCGCAATCACGCACACAATCATAAACGCAAACACGAACACAAGCACATAAACTCACACATACACACATGCTTTGCGTCGGCGGCTGGGCAGAAGGCGACTGGCTCCGGCGGACAGGCAACAGGCGACACACGGCATGCAAATTAAAGCCTCGATGCACGGGGGAGGAGGAGACCCGGCGCAACAGGGAAAGAGGAAGCCAGGCCCACTCAGGCAACTCACCGGATGCGGCAGGGGAAACGCCGTGCGGAGCACCGGCACTGAGCTGCAGCTGGGGGTGAAGGCAGCCCAGCCAGACTGGGCGGCCAGTGGGGGAGCACCACATGCGTAGCAGAGGCCCGCCCCAGTGAACCGGCAGGGCGCGGCCCCATGGGGTGAGTCGCAGCGCCGAGTCAGGCGGGCCTACGAGTCGCGGTGGGGGGCGAGGGGCAGGGCGGGCACTCACGAAGCGCCCCGACGGGCGGCATTGTAGCCCCGCGACCGACGGAGAACGGCGACCCAGAATCGCAGCCACTCCAGGGGAGCGGCACGGAGCTGGGGGCGGCAGTGGAGGGCGGGCGAGCAGACACAAGGACGGGCAGAAGCGCCGAGACCAGGGGGGGCCCACGAGGCGCAAAGCGAGGAGGCGGAACGGCAACGACTCAGAGATGCGCCAAGCGCGGCACACGCTGGCCGGCGGGCGGGGAGCAGCAGGAAGGACCACACCAAGGGAGCCGGGCTCAGGGAGGGCGCCGGGCTCAGGGAGGCAGCAGCAGGGGGGCGCCGGGCCCGGGGAGGGCAGAGGGAGGGGCGAGGCGAGCGCCGAGACCAGAAGGCCTATGAGGCGCAGGCGAACGGGCGGGGCAAGGTGCCACGGAGGAGCGGCGGCGCCCAGAACACGAGGAGCTGGTGACTGGATGGGAGGCATGGAAAATCAAGCCGGGAGGCAAGACGCCGGCAGGGTAGCGAGCGTCACCTAGCTGGCACAGGGCCACGCAAAGACCCGGAGGGTGCCACAGACAGCGCCGAACCAATGGGCTGCAGCGGCAGAGCAGGGCTACCCCCGGGCGGAGCGGGGGAGAGGCCCGAAGGCCACGAGCGGGCGGCAAGAACAGCCCACCGAAGCGCTGAGCACACCCCAGGATGGGGGGACCCGGGGCGGCGGCAGAGAAGCCAAGGAGCCGCCCCGAGCGGCGGCGGGGGGCCCCCGCGGAGTGCGAAAAGGGATGCGGAGCGGCGCAGTGCGCGGTGGGGCACCACGGGGCAGGCAGCCGCCGGGCATGGAGCGACGGCGGCGGGGGGGAGCAGGCCCCGAGCGGAAGCTGGAGGCCTGCGGGGGGGGGGGCACCGAATGAGCGCGCGGGCGCGAGCCGCAGGGCCAGGAGCGCAGGCGGGAGGAGGAAAACCCCGAGCGAAGCTGGCGATCTGCGGGGGGGCGCCAGCTAGGTGCACGGCGGCGAGAGAAGCCGAGCGGCGACGTGGCCAGGGAGCGGAGGAAGCTGCGAAGGAAGGCGGCGTCACGTCGGCAGGGGCCCCTGTTGCCCCCACCGCGCTGAGAGCAATACCTGGCACAGGCCGCGCCGGGTCCGCCGCCTGCTCGCTGCGCGTCCTTGATTGTGGCGGCCGGGGCCCCGTTCGCATTGAGAGCGTCGTGGCAGTGGACACCAGGGACAGGGGCGGCACGCCCCCCACCCTGGGTGGTGCGGCGGCAATCCTCGGCACTCGAACTGCCGGCGCTCGTCGCCGCGTGGACGAGGGGAGCGAGGCAGAGCGACCGTAGAAGAGGGGGGGCGAGACGCGCGATGCCCGTCGGCGCAGCCCCGCGGCCCGGCCAGCGCAGCCTCGGCAGGGCGCAAGGCGGGGCGCCTGGCGCCGCCCCGTCTGGGCAGCGGCGCGCGATCCACCTGCGTGGGACGGCGCGGCGGGGCACCGATTTCCAGCCGTGGCGACGAGAGACGCTTGCGGTGTCCGCGGTGGTGCCCC